ACTTTGTCTTCCATCCGAGTTCCAGCACCTTTCGTTTCAAATCGGCTGAGATCAACATCGCTCTTCACCACACCAGCGAGGGTGATAAGAAGCCGCTGCAGGCGGTGGCCGGTCTGGCGCCTAAGACTAGTCACGATCATGGCATGCAGATCAAGACGATGAGCAACGCGCTTGTGAAAAGCCGTGACTGTGTACATGTTCCAAGCTTCAAGCCCCCACGGCCCAAGTTCCTTCGCCACGCGCCGCATCTCCTCTACGGGACCATCTCGCCCGAGACGTTGAACTGGAACTTCAACCTCGCGGGATCTCTCGGTGTGTCCCAAGGGCCAGCTAGCGCGAGTTTCAAACCCTCTTACGGCGTCAAAAGCAGTTACAAAATCTACGAGATGATGAAGATCCAAGGCTCCGTCCGGACACTCCGGTCGTGGTACGGACGCGAATACGACATTGAAGACGGCGAGTTGGTCTGGACCTTAGAGGAGAACAAACTCCAAAAGTCCGGGCTGCCGCGGGAATTCACGTTTGTCATGCTGCTCACCAAGGGCAGTGGAGGGTTTGAACAGAGTGGCGATGTTCGGCTCGAGCTCGATGTCCATCCCAAAGTCGCCGGAAGACTTGGAGCAGCCTATCCATCTTTGATCACAAACCTGCACCAATATCAACCTTTCAAGAGGGAGATATTAGACCTCGACGAAGAGATCGGCCAAGTGTTTGAACCGCAAATCAAGCGCAAAGGGTTCAACTTTGCCAACATCGCGAGCAGTTTTGACGATTTCGTCTGGCTGCCTGGCACCGCATATTCGACTTCCGACGGCGGTATACCCCAGTCGCCAACAGGGGTTAATGCGCAACAACAAGGTCCTCCACAGCAGGAGGGGCAGCAACAATCTCAGCAAGGATCTCGACCACATCAGCAGCACCCAGGAGTTCAACGACAGGCGCTTCCGTCGGGCGACACAACACTCAATTTGAGAGTGCTTCTGGAAACCTCTCGCGGGAGCCCCGTTCCTTTCTCCAACCAGGTCCAGCAGCAACTGCCATACCTGAATCTGAAAGTGCCATCTCAGAATCCGTCCTCGCGCACACAATCACCATTACCTGCTCCTTCCATTACGGGCTCGCGGGAGTCGACCCATCGAACCATCACAATCGGCTCCTCGAGATCGGTAAGAAAACAGCGCTCGCGCTCTGAGCTGTCGAAAGAATACAAGTTGTCCCCTACACAGGCGCAGACAGCAGTAGAACCTCAGCCCTCCTCTTCTGGCCATGCCGCGTCGAGGCCGCAGAGAATTTCCGCAACCCCGGCGTGGCGGCCCTTTTCATACCAGGAGGAGGAAGACAAACTGAATCATCAGGGCCGCAGCATCCAGATGTCGACGCCGGAGGAGCACGTCATAGTACCGCAGACTAATAGTTCGCCGCCAATAATCCCTCAACCAAGTCCAGAATTCGCCACGCCGCCTTCACACCCGCAGCCTGATCCGGACCTGCCATCTTGAAGGTATGGCTGGCCTCGAGGACGACAGGGTCTGGGATGCCAACAACCCGCCCAGATCAGCCGATCCGATATCGATATCGACCCCGGAGTGGGAGTATGACGCTTCGCAATGGCATCCCTGAAACACGAATATGCCAGGGACTCTTATGGATATGAACCTAGCAGCATTGTGTCTTATGCTCTCGAACTCCGTTATAATATATGTTATCTAATAAGCCTACAAGGCTACCTTAGTACCTAGCTCTTCCAGTAAAAAATCGTGGAACACTCAGAAATCCACCATGCAGACTGAGGTAGGCTGACGCTGGTATTTGCTCCAACTTTCATTGGGTAGCAAAGGCTACCTAGGTATATTTAGAGAATTAAGAGGAGAAAAGGTCGTGTCAATTCCTTAACTGGAGAAAGCTGAAACCTGTCTATAGTGCAAAGCCGGTAGCCAAATCCTGAGATGTCAGACTTGAACAATCCCACAGGTCCGCCAAGAAAGGTCTCAAAGATTGTTCGTTCTGCCAGCTCCTATGCGCGGCTCCGCGACCGCATGCCTTTATCTTGACAATCATGAAAGCAGAGAATCCTAGTGCTAAGTATGGCTGGAGAGCCGAGTATAACCATCATTACGAAGGGCTGTTACCGTTCAAGTACAAGCCCCTGGAAAATGATCGCAATATACGCCTCTTACAACTCCACAAGCATACAGGATTATCAGAGTTCGCAGCAAAGTCGGGCACGCCAACCAGCGACCGGCTCATTGGACCAAATACGACTCGGGTGAGGATTCGCCGAAATCCAGACCCAGATGACCTTACTTTCTGGCCGTTAGAAGTCACATTAGTCGAGGTACCCCTGGACAAGTTGCCCCCGTTTCAAAGTATATCGTATGTATGCGGCCCCCAAGAGCAACGCGCAATCATCTGCAACGGTCGACTGTTGTTCATTAACCGGAACTGCGCTCTCGCACTCTACCATCTATCCTGCGACCTGGAGGATTCGGAGAACGGCTACATTTGGGTGGACCAAATTTGTATCCACCAGGATGATGCGGCGGAGAAGGGCCAGCAAGTTGCGCTTATGGCAGAGCACTATTCTTGCTCGAGCAGGACGGCCGCCTGGATAGGGGAAAGCGACGAAGAATTGGAAGAGCTGTTCGACACACACAATAAGCCAACTACTGCGATGCTCATCGGACATGGAAATGGACTACCCTTTCAACGCGAAGGCATCGCGAAACTGTTCTCGAACCCGTGGTTCCGTCGCGGCTGGATCGTCCAAGAAGCAGGACTATCGCGTGAGCTGGAGCTTTTCTGCGGAAGCTATGTGATTTCATGGGGTACATTACTGGACTTTTACCGGGAGAGCCTCGTCTGGCCTCGATGGTCGCTGCCCGACCGTGAGACGATATATCGCTTCAACCAGTTACGGCGAACGATCATCCATTCCGAAACCCGCAGCCTCAACATCAGACAAGCCCTGGAATTTACTCATCAGACGTCAGTTACCGACCAGAGAGACCGTCTGTATGCGTTGTTCGGCGTCTGCAGACCGATCAGAGAACTGGTGGGATTTCCGGACTACACCATCACATCCGAGGAATTGTACCTGAAGTTCGTCTTTGCGGTAATCAAGCAGTACGTTCCCAACTCTCCTTTCCTCTGGCAGATGATTACGATCTATGGCAATGGCCCAGACGATACGGAGCGCTTGCCGTCATGGGCACCGGACTTCTCCCACGGCAAATCCAAATGCTTGGTGCATCCTCTGTGCAGGATGTCCGATTTTGAAACGTCGTCGCGCTTCACGCCTTCTGCGCTTCCAACCCAGCAATTTGATGAAGAGTTGCGTACTTTGACATGCCAATGCGTGGATATCGGCACCTTGGGACATATACTGTGGGATCGCCCAAGTGATCTTCACCATACCCTCATCGAGGATCCACGTGCGGTCCAGCGCATCCTCGACGCCAATGAAATACATGAGTATGACATGTCCGGCCAAGGCCGCCCCGTCCGGGTTAACCCAGCTCGCCCGACTGACCTGCTGTACCGGCTTGTCGAGGACGATTACTTCGACAGTGCGAAGAAACTCCCATTCCACAATGCAGCCGAGTGGCAGGACATGAAAGTATTCGTCACCGCGCGTGATGCTTCGTTGGCGGTGGCTCCCGCGTGTGCCCACGAAGGTGACAAGGTCGTTCTGTTCGAGGGAAACATCCCGACTGGCCAATTGTCCGTCCTGCACGGAAACGGGGACGGGTTGTGGAAGTATACTGGTACCTGCTTCCTCCTGGGCTGGAAGCCGCACGGTAGCAGGAAGATTGTGGATGAGTCGGGAACATGTGAGGTTTCTTTGCGTTGAGAATGTTGTGAATATCCGGATATATATCTGATCCTTCAAAAGCTGCGGGCAAGTGCTCTTCATTTGTGGCCATTAATGGTATCTAGTCAATCGTGGCAGAGCAGATGAAGTAAATCTACAACAAACCCTCTTTGCGTGACCTAGCTTGCCTAGCTCCATTGCTGAAGCATCTCTTCAACAATCCATCATATTCGTATCCTCAGTCCGCCACATGATCTCCAAACCAGCCGAGACAGAACTACCTGGCATCTCCATCGGTCTCCTGGCGGGCGGGAAGGTAAATATATATATATACATGACTCCTCCGAGGATTCGTCGACAAATATTCGCAACCGGAAGAGACGTGCCCAGCGCCTAGCGGCTTCGATATTCGTTCTGCCGCCGCCTCGGAGCCCATCTTTGTCTAGGAGGAGTAGTAGCTCGAAAACTGAAGCCGACAATTTCGTGATGCGCCTTGTACATGTACAGGTAGGTGCGTGGCAAATATATTAGGCATGAGAGAAGTCACGCGGTTTGACTTTTGAAGAGGTGGGAGAGGCTAGTGTTCTTGGGACAGAACGTGCTAGGTGGGGGTACAATTGTCATACTGTACGTATCTACTTGTAGGCATCATTGGCCTGGGCTCGTCCTGCGACGAAAGGCTAGAGGGCCGAGGATATTAGAGGGATTTCTAGGAGGGTATACAAGTACAAGTACATACTCTAGCCAAAGCCTAGGGGCCCTCGCTAAGGCGCTATACCCTTTAGTCCCTACAACTCTTGAGACGCGGGTGGTCTTTCCCCCGGTTCGTGCGAACCTCGTCCTAATACGGGGTGAGGCGCGGACAGTCAGTTAATACGAAATGATCAATCTCGGCCCTAATCAAACATAATACCTGGGCGAACTGGGCAGACGATTCAATTCCGATTTCGACTTTATATTTCGATTTCGACTCCGACTCCCATTCAGAGCACCCGCTGGCCAAGTAGAGTCTCCTAGGCTGCTACTTTGCAGCAGTAATGGGCCAAATGCCTCCCCAAAGCCTTGTGCCCATCAATAAGTTAATGGCATCCAGTTTCTCCAAGAATATACACATACATAACATACAGTTCGCTATCCTCTGACCTCAACGCTCCTCTGGACCGAGTTGTGACCACGCCAAACATATTCTTCAGGCGGGCGACATGCTCATGGGCGCACCGTCTTCGCCTTCCGAGTCCCCATCTCCGTGTTCATGCTCTGGGGTGGTCTCCATCACCGCATCTGCCGCTCGATTCGTGGTGTTTACAGGAGCGCTATCACCATTTGCGGGTGGCGGAGGAGGCATGCTTCCTTTCGACGCAGCCTCATCCTCCAACTTGGCCTTTTTGTCGGTGCCTGTAGCCAAATCAGCAAGACCGGCTTCGCGAGCCTTCCTCTTCTCTTTCTCTCGAATGTATTCCTCTTTTCTGCGCTCTTTCTCGCGCTTGTCGTTCTCCCTCCTGTGCGCCTTGCTTTCAAATTCATGCCAATCGCCTTCGACGTTCGCAAGCTCCACTGGCTGTTCTGGCAGCGGCTCCTCAGAAGTGAAGTACTTGTGACCGAGCACTTGTTCCGCGTTGGGCCGTTTTTTTGGGTCGTATTTGAACATCTTCTGCACAAGATCAAGACCCGCGGGCGTGAAGACGTCTTTGAACGTGGCTTCAAATATCCTCTTTCGTCGATCGACCGGTTGCATGAGCTCAAACCAAGGGAGATCCACAATCCCGGGCCAGTCTGATCGAGTCGGTGTTCCGAGCACGTTGTATACTTTGTCGAGTTGGCTGAGCTCTCCGCCTTCTCCTGGGAAGATCGCTTTCTTGGTGAACATTTCCACAAATACACAAGCTGCAGACCATATGTCCACTTCGGGTCCATATTGAGTTTCACCTAGGAGAAGCTCCGGAGGTCGATACCAGATTGTGATCACACGATTGGTGTAATCGAGTTTTCGAGACTTGTTGTAGAATCGTGCAAGGCCGAAGTCGGCGTATTTCAGTTGACCTGTGTTAGAGATCAGAATGTTGGCGGCCTTGATGTCCCGGTGCAACACGCCCCGTCGATGGAGATAATCTAGGCCATCAAACATTTGCTTGGCCAAGTCCTTTTTGTGTGCCGGCGTAAGTTTGAATGTTGGATGGTTGATGAGTCCAGTCAGGTCATGCGAGAGGTACTCAAAAACCATGAAGCATTCATTTTTTTCCACCATGACCTCTTGCAATGCCACCACGTGCTTGTGTCGTAGGTGTTGCAATAATCTGATCTCGCGTACGGCCGTGATGGGAAATCCGTCTCGTTCGCCTTCCATTCGAATCTTTTTCAGCGCAACCTTGTCCTTTGTGTAGATGTGAATAGCCTTGAATACTTTTCCATATGTACCTGCGCCCACAACAGACTCGTTGCCCGGCTTTCGGTAATATATAGACTCGGATTCTGCAAACTCGGGAGGCAACGTAGGCCGAGACTTGATCTCTTTTTTGATCTTCTTCGAAGGTGGAGAGCGCGATCGGTCCGGTCGGCGTTCCCTTGAAGGTGGTTGCTGATGCTGCTGTTGCTGTTGGCGGTCGTTGGGAGGCCTTCGGTCTTGATAAGTCGGAAATTTCCGATCATGAGGCCGAAATCCATGTCTGTCGTCACGGCGGTCGAAGTGTTTGTTCTTGGGGCCTTGGGGCGGTGGCGGCCGATTGTCTGGAGGTTGGAATGGTCCCTTTGGTCTTGAAAAATCTGCAGCAGGTTTAGCTGGAGCCTGAGGAGGAGCTTTGGACTTGAAGGCGAAGCTGAATTTGGAAGCAGCCGGTCCTTGTTGGTCATTACCCTGTGTGTTCTGATCTGTATTGTCGATCCTGCTGTTCCCTTGATCCTCCACTCGCAATTCCTTTGACGGTCTGAAGGGATTCTCCTCCTCGGCTGGCGCGCCTTCGCGGCCGTCCTGTGACGCCGTCTGCGAATGAGTTGGAGATGTTTGCGATTGATCCCCATGTCCGCCTGGAAAATTTTGGGTTTGCGGTCCACCTTGTTTTGGGCCTGGTGCTGTCCATTGTAAATTATTAAAATGTCCGCCTCTACCTCGATGACGGGGGCCGTTGAATCTCTGGTCTTGTTGGAAATGCCCACGGTGGGGACCATGACCACGACCCCCTCGGTAGGATTGTTGATAGCCGTGTTGGTTACCCCCGTAGTGGCCTTGCTGGTTTTGATAGTAAGGATTAGGGTTATTTGCGCCGCCTGGACCAGAAAAGCTATTTTGTCGATATGGAGGAGAGGAATTGTGCATCGGACTGTGGAATGTATTAGCAATGAAACAGCTGTTACGTTATAATGGTACTGACCCATGATGGCCTTGCCCTCCCCAGCCGCCTCTCTGATGATGATATGGTGAATTCTGCGGCGGCGAGCCGTGATAGGAGCTGTTAGAGGAATATGGAGGGGAGCCTCCATATCCTTGGTGTCTATTTTCGGCATATGGCCTTTGTTGTCCTCGATTCATTCCATAGCTACCACGTGATGGATATTGGGCATCCATGGGGCGGTTAACGGTATCGTCGACAACGGAAGGAGCTCTCGAGGAGGGATTGTCCTTCTTGGCGGAAGGGCCACCTTTGGCCGGCAGAGGACGTCGCGGCGGCCGGGTCGAATTCACGGATGATTCTCGAGTTTCGATAGATGAATGCTTGGACTCGGGGCGCCGAGGCGGAGATAATCTCGCAGGCGGACGAGGGGAGATGGATCGCTTATCGCGTGTGCGGGAAGGCGAAGACTCTCTTTGAGTGGCAGGATCGTAATTGCCACGATCAGCTACTTGGGATGTCGAGGCGGGTGAACCGAGTCGAGATGAATATCGAGGGAAATCCCTAGGCGGTAAAGGAGATGGAGGATTCGGCCGACCCCTATCGTCTATATCAGAAGGGTCCCGGCTGCGAGCACGTCTGTGGTCTTCGAAGCCAAATCGGTCGCTGCCGGCGGGAGATGGGCTTTGAGTGCGCCTCCGTTTGGGTAATCGGGTGGGCGAGAACTCACGGCGTCTCCCAGGTCGATCTCCAGATAATTTTCGAGGTGGTGGGTGATGATGGTGTTGCTGCTGCTGCTTGGGTTTGGAGTAACGAGGCGGAGGCGAAATGGAAGACTGTCTACCATGCAATTTCCTGGAGTCTCTGTCTCTCGAAAATTGCCGCTTCCAACGTGGCTCACGGTGATGGCGACCTGGCCGCGTGCCCCGCCCGTAAGATACTGCGGCTTCTTCTCCTGGACGTGCAGAATGTGGTGATTGAGGTCGTCCGCTTTCACGATTCCCGTCTCCGTCCCGCGGTCGATGATGTGGATGTCTCTGGCGCGGATCCTCTTCGACTCGCCAACGATTCTTCATTGATGGACTCCTTCGAGACCTCGCCATGTAATGCGGGGCGGCATTGGCAAAGAGGTAGGGCGGGGAGATTCGAGGGTTTGCAAGAGAGTAATGGTCGCAGCGGTGGTGCTCGTGAGGAAGTGGGTGTGGATGTTCAGCGAGTCCTGCGCAGTTTTGGAGATTCAGCAACATCGCCAGCCAGAAGCGAACATGGGTTTGGGTGATGGTCCAAGGACTTGGCAAGCCCGTGGAAGTGAAAAAGCGGCGAGCAGGCCCCAGTGTGCCCATGTCGGCATCGAGTCAGGCCGCTGGCGCCTCAGGGTCCTCATGTTCTGGGGGGTGGGAGGGCAGGAGGGGGTTGTCTAGGGGAAACAGAGGACTCACCTGTTGCCCCTGTTGTGCCTATTCTCGACTCAGGCCTAGGCTCCCTCTCACACTGCCTCTGGTGTCCCATCTCCCTCTGCCTCTTCCTCTCCATCCTCATCACCATCTCAGCAGCTCCTTCGCTCCGCATCAGCCACTTGTCCGCTTTTCTTTTACCTTTTGCTCTGCCCATCACACTGGATGATCCCAGCAGCGATAAATGGGAGCGATCTACCGCTCAAACTACAGTGGCCGTAGTCGCGCTTTTTTGTGAGAACTGCGTCAAAAGCACTTCTCTGTCTCGGTGGCGGCGCCGCTTTGTTGGCGGCAATTCAAGGCGTCAGAGATCAAAAGGTCGAGTGACATACCGCACTTCAAAAGTGACAGTACAAGACGCGACAGTCTATCTACGTGAATCCTCCTCGGGCGCCTTCCCGAGGCAACAGCAAAGCACTCGGTCAACGGCCTGCCATTGACGAGTTTGCGTTTTGCTGTTCACTGCCAGTAGTAACACGGTGAATAACCTGGTTCCCCAACTGCCTTCGACTTCAACCGTCCCTCCCGACATTTTATGCCCTTGTAGAATCAGACATTGACCACAAAAAGGCATCAATATCTGTTCACATGGCAATGACATCCATGAACCCTGGATGTCGCTTTGCTCGTACTAGACATTATATCAGCAATCAAGTACTTATGTCTCCAGGATACTTGACCGAGCGATTTTCAAGCAGCGTGGGGGTGTAGAAGTGGCAGGTCTGTCCTGTTAGCCAAAACGCAGTTGAGCTGTGGTCGGCTTGAAAGACGAAATTAGAAACGTTGGTCGAGCATGATTCCTGAAAAAAGGATAATGAGAGCTTGACGGCCGATTGTAACGCAGTCCGATTGCTGTACCCGGAACTCGGCGGCGGGGGGATTCGGCCTCCTGGGTGGTGCGGATATCTTGCAAGGAAATAAGAGAGTAACAAGAATGAACGTCGACATCAAAACTACATATCCAAGAGTAATGTTGCCGCAGAGTGAGCGCAACCATGACTTCTGAGGCTCCAAGTCCAGAGGAGAGGGCGGGTACATTGAAATGTGTACCAGTGGGCAAGGAATGTGGCCGCTGACCGCCTAAATTGACCTCCAACATAGCAATTTTCAGTCGATCTGCCATCTCTCCGCTGAGCATAATTAATCAGAGGAGGGAAACGAGTCCCGACCCTCGGGAGTATAAACGAGAGAAAATATCAGACGCAGCAGAAACGACATTCGATATCGTCGATGGCTTACAGTGTACAGAACGACAATGATGAAAGATGTCGAGGTGTGTACGGTGAAGGATCCTGTGACTTTGATGCCAAGAAACTAGTACAAAGTGGGAGGCAGGGGAGGCAAAGGAGGCTGGGCGTCCGGCGAAGCAAGCACGCCTCGACACGCATTTTGATTACACCGAGCCCCTCTCGATGCCTGCCCTCTCTAGTTAACGCAGCCATCAATTATGCAGCATGAGCATCTCCGTACACATAACCCGCTCACAGCGGCAAGTCCAGGTCGATCATACGGAAATCAACGGCGGCCATTGGGCTGCATCGACCTCACATGTCACCTCTTCCACTCCACTTCTCAGCTTTTGCTGACCAAGGGAATTCCTGGACGAACCCCAGCTGCGGTCTTGGAAGATATATCACTTTGAAGCGTCATTATGCTTTTCGCCCTGTTCCTCTCTGATTTGCCTCCATCGATTTGTCTTGGCCATAACGCAGTAAAGGGTTGACAGTACGACCTGAAACTCCCATTTCAAGATCGGCTTCCCGTTTGATCATCTCTCCTGATCAAAATGGTCACCGGTCAATGCTCATCCTCCCACCAATCCCTTTCTCCCCCATCAACTCGCATCCCGTCCTCACCACGCCAATCATTCCACCAGTCTGCACACCCTCACTTCCGCCTCCAGCCAATCTGTATTCAATCTCTGCGAGCCCTTGTAACCAGGTCACTCTAGTCGCGGCACTGACTTCGAGGTTCTGTAATTCTTCGGCCAGAGCAGTCAATATGTCCGCGAGGGCCAGTCCACGGCTACTCTTCAAAGCATTAATTGTCCTCAGACATTCCGTCAGTTCAGGCGTGCTCAGCATAGTCGTCATGATTAAGCGTATATCTTCGGGATGCGGCGCCGCAATACAATTGTAAATTGTGTCGTTCGTAATCAAGTCATATTTGATCTCGGATTCCTTGACGGGAGGCTGACCTCGCATTGGTAGTGGCCGTGATCCAGCATAGCAAGCTTGAAGAACGTTCAGCGCTCGACGCATGTCGCCTTTGGACAATCGGACCAATGAATCAACCGCCTCCGGAGTGATATCCACATGTTCCTGTGCAATCACCTTGTCCACCAGCCGACGAATATCCGCTTCCTTTAGGGGGGAGAACCGAAATCGAGTACACCTCGATAGCAACGCCGGAGATAACTTATGTGTGTAGTTCGCAATAATGCAAAATCTTGTATTAGCCGTGTATTTCTCCATGATCCTCCGCAAAGCCATTTGCGCCGCGGACGTCATCGCGTCTGCTTCATCGAGAATAATCAACTTGAAAGCCCCGAGTCCGAGTTTAGGCCCGCCCGGAGTCTGCTGCGTTGCGGTACTGAAGATTTGCTTGGTCGACGCAAAAGTTTTGATGTGTTCGCGAACCACGTCGATGCCGCGGTCGTCGGACGCATTGAGCTCGAGAACCATCTGTCTCATGTTCTTGGGGCCGTATATGTGTCGCGCCAGCGCCAAAATCGTAGAAGTCTTCCCTGTGCCGGGCGGTCCATAAAAGAGGAGATGGGGTAGTCTGTTGTGTTCGATAAATCTGTTGATTGTAGCGAGGATGTCTTGGTGGCCCGAGACATCGTCAAGGGTATTAGGCCGGTACTTTTCGACCCTGCATTTCCTGTGAGCGACTACTCCGTCTAGTTGAGACGCGCAAGGATTGTGACATACCATGGTAAATTGTCCTCTGCTTCCACTGGCAAGTCCGCAGCTATTCGCTTCTGCTTGCCCGCTGTATGGTCTGAGCTGAACTGGATTGACTTGTCTCTGGACGGAGGCGCATCCAGGTCCATGTCGTCTTCGTAGTCTGACATCCTGAACCAGATTGTATACACTTAAATTGTTGACGATATCACTTGAAACTACTAAGGTTGATGTCAATAGTCCCTCTCCCACGACGCGCCTGCACCTGCGGAGACGCGTTAATTGAAGTGCAGCTTATGCTGGAATGCGCCGCCCTACAATTTCTTCGCCTCCTCACACAACTGCCAAGACGTAATTGCGGGTTCGTCGCATTGGTGGGATGCGATCGCCTAGGACAAGGTGCCTCAATTCCAAGTCAACACTGGGATGGGAAGTTGAGAAACCAATTGCCATCCTTTGACTCCTCCTACTTCCTTTCCTCTAGGCTCGACTTCGTGGGAAGTCAAGATGCCAGTAAGTCGCCGCCAGTTCCCTTGCTTGCCCTCCTGTCCGCTGACATCCCGCTCACAGGCATACCACTCCATCTTCCTGGGCGACCAGGGCGTACAGTTAATAGGTATCTCACTTTAAAAACACGGCGGCTCACGAACCCGTTCGTACTGACACCTGGGACCGGAAGGCAACTTTCCACTCCTGCCGCTTCGCACGAAAACCCGCGGCCCGGCCTACACTCTTCCTGCTCTGCCTCCAAACGTCGACCCCCTCGACGTCGACCCCGACTCCGAATCCTACGATTGCCTCGATGAGATCCTGAGCTTGTTCCGCGCCAACACCTTCTTCCGCAACTTTGAAATCAAAGGTCCTGCGGACCGAATGCTTATCTACGGCATCCTCTTCCTCTCAGATTGTTTGACGAAAGTGAAACCAAACATGGACTCCCGTGCGGCGGAGAAAGCCCTAATAAATGGCGCCCTGGAGCAATTCAGCATCCCTGGGGAGCCAGGGTTCCCATTGAACCAAGCGTATGAGGCACCCAGAGACCGGAATGATGCCGAGGCTTTGAGGAGTTACTTGAGCCAAGTGAGGCAGGAACTGGCAATGAGACTGCATGCTAGGCTTTATGCAGATGGGACCAACGTACCGAGCAAGTGGTGGTTGAGCTTCACGAAGCGGAAGTTTATGGGCAAGAGTTTATAGATGAAGATTGAGGAAAATAGCATGAACAGAAGGAGACATTCTGGATGACCTGATGACGAAAGAAAGGGAATTGGGGTCCGATTCCCTCGAAAATAACTTGGAAATCAAGGCCACGGAGTTTTATATACGCTTCGGAACATGCCATGCTAAGTTCCCATCTGGTCACCATCTCGTGGCCCGTTTCACGCCTCGTCTATAACATCCTCACGCACATCCAGATTATTCTGTTCCTGTGTCGCAGCCTCGACCTTTAGTTTCTTGAGCGGTGACTGGGGTGGCTCCTCCGTATCTGCCACTCTCTTCCCTCCTTCAAATCCACCCTCATTTGGACTTCCGGTAGGCCCCTCTTCGCCCTTGACCTTCTTTCCTCTAGGAGGTCTCCCTCTGGCTTCAACCTTTCCCTCCGCAGGAAGCACCCTAGTTCCCACAAAGACGTAACCCTCTGCACCACCCCTTCCCGTCATCAATGGATGCGTCCTGCCGGGTAAGACCTGCCACTTCCTCACTCTTGCGGTATGCACCGACGGTGCTAGAAGCAGCGTCGGATCCACAGGGAAGTCCTTTGACGGGACAGTTCTTTGTTCTTGAGGAGTATTGATGAAGGCAGTCCGTCGTGCTGTAGAGTAGCAGTCAGCCAGTTCGACCAGCGGCTCGACGTATGGCGAGTAGACCACGACTTGGCTTCCGCCCGCCAACAACGGGACGAGATGGCGCAACGTCGACGTTGGATCTGTGAAGCTCGCCACGACAAGGCCGTCGAAGCCGCCTTCCTGCGTCTCGGCCACGAGCTTCCTTACACGTTCCCACCGCCGGCGTTTGCGGTAGTAGGCACTCCTTCGATTTGATTTCATCCGCGCGAGTTCTACGTCCGGGATGGTGGGTGGTTCTTCGTACGTGGTCCCAGACTCTGGCTCCAATAGCTGCAGCCACGAGAGGGTCTTAAGATGGGTGTACAATGGATGGGAAGCACTCGGGGTGTTGGAGTCGAAGTTGAAAAAGCGGAGTAATCCGAGATTAGGTTGCTGATTTGCATGGACGAGCGTGATTGCGTTGGAGGTTGCGCTCATTGCGGAGTGACGGTACTGTTCGCGATGTGACCTTCGAGGTAAGTGCGTCTCTACCTCGTCGGGGTGGTCGTCATTCATGTCCTCATCTTCTATGCGAACAGTCACCTCTTGTCCCAGGCCTGTTGGATGTAGAATACCCATCCTCTCCGCCATGGCAGCCACGATCAGACCACCCGTGTCATCTACAACTAGGTACCGCGAAGACGGGCCCATGTTGGCGAGCATAGGAGAGTCTTGGCCGGCAGCATGGACATTTGCCCAACATCCGATCAGACCGATCGCCTCGTTCCTCATCTCCATAATCTTCGTAAATTCACGATCTACCATCATCCAATCTACCAGGGTCGGAACATCCAGGGGCAACACAGTGAATTGCTTCATGTACTTCTTGTGTTTCTTTAGCGTATATTTGGCGAGAGAAAACGCCGTCTTCTGGTCAAGGGTAGAGTGAGATTGCATGATCCTCTCAATTAGTTCTCTGCCGCTGCCCATGGTGTTTCTTTTGAGTGCTTCGATTTCAGTCCTGGTCAGCTTCTGATTCGTGGGGTCGTCGTGGGTGTTGACGTTGGATTTAGGAGTCGGTTGCTGTGATACCCCTGCATCGTCCACCTCGGTTCTGGGCGTCGACACATCGTCCGTCTCGGCCTGCTCAACTAGAGCCACAGCATGCAGCTCGGCGGCCTGGAGAATCCTGAGCTCTCTGCCATTCTTGACGTCGGACCGATCAAGAATCTCAAAGGTTAGGTGGTAAGGACGGCCTATGATCTGGTTTGTGCGGAAAGATCCATATTTGCCCAGGTTTATCAGACTTTGTAGACAGAGTCAGCGACAGCTTATCAAGGCCGTTGGCTGATATCTGTTCGGAGTCCGACAGATTTCTTGGTGTTGAAGACCTACGTATTGGGGACGATCTGCTCGACTCTGGTCTGGTCTGAGGGCAGCCGAATGGCAACGTATTGATAGGGGTGGACGACTGAAAAGGCCATTCCGCCGCTTGATACAGCACCTGGTGAGCCTGATAGCTGACTTCAGCTTTTACTCGTCATTGCTTTGTGGCCCAAATAGGGCAGTTGAGCATTTGAAAATAACGTCCCGCAAATATTTTTATGCTATCACGGACATCCGCTTCGGGGCTTAACTTCTAGCCGCTTTATGGATATTTCGGCTCTACTTCGGCTCTGCCTCGACCTAGCCATACCAGCCCTGCTAGCCTTCTGGTTTGGGGGTCATTCAATGTTCCAGGCAGGATTCATCCATCGACATAGAGAGACAAAAGTGGCACAGATGGCCATCTGCTCATACAGAAAGTACCTCGATGCCAAACTTTGCGTACGGAAAGTTTTCCAAACTGGCCAAGTACTCTCCCCATCCATCGTCAATCTCACCCAGTTGCTCTTCATCGCCAATCTCGACCAGCCCAGTTCTTCCCGCAAGTACCTCCAACTCCCGATCTCTAAACTCGGCATACAAGCCTGGGTGGGGGACCCAAACGACTCTCATTCCCGCCCTCCTCCCCGCCTCGACACCGGGCAGGCTATCCTCGAAAACTAGACATTCCTCAGGTGATATCGGAGGCGACCCTTTGGAGAGCTTGGAATTGAGAATCTGCAATGCACATAAGTAGATATCGGGTGCCGGTTTTCCTCTACCCTTGCGCACACGCGGATCGTCGCCTAGAACGCGATGTTCTTCAGGAATTAAATCCAGCAGCGCCTTCGACTCCGGCCGCACTACCTTGCGATTGTAGTTGAGCCTCTCGCTGCTGCTAGCTAGGGCAATCTCCACGCGCAAGCCAGTGGTCGTTTGAGCCTTGTTGAGATCACGGAGGAGCTTTTCCGTGCCCGGCAACGGTTCACACTTGTCAAAGTGGATTTGCTGTTGCTCACGCTGTTCTTTTGCATACTGCTCTCGGGAGATGGGGAGCTGGGCCCACTGGTGGAAGACGTCTCCGTTGGAACTTCCAGGAACACCCATTAGCCGGGCTTTGATGGACCACGGGAGCCGAGGTCGGCCGTATTTGAGGAGCACGTTGTCAGCGCATAATGTGTAGATGTCTTCCGTGTTGAGCAAGAGGCCGTCCATGTCAAAGATACAGGCGCGTACCGGCGCGAAACTACGAGATAAAGCCCATCTGATTAGCAGCGTTGAGACTACTCGATAATAGACATGCGGAGTCCAGTGCACATCAAGGCAAGGCGACAGACCCGTGGGTGAGATCCGGGACAACTTACTCTGTTCGGGTAGGCATTTTGTCAGGAAGACGATTGAATTACGCTCACGGATCTAGCACTCGCTCAAATTGCGCGATGCGTGGGCCAGGCCAAGCTGCTTTTAGGGAGCACAGCCACACCTCAGGATTTGGCCTAGGCCGGGCAAGACCAGGTCACTTTTGCCGCATGGAAGATTAACGGCTTATCTAGAGAGCACGACAAGGAGCCAAATGGCTCTGATGGTAAGTTCCACATGATCAACGGTTCTCGTGACCGTGACGAGTGCGAGAGGGATGGGTTTATACAAGTAGAGAATACAACGAGGACTTATGTCTTGCTAGGTATCTTGGTATGCCACAAAAACAGGAACAATGCATCATCTCGAATGAGTGTGACGTCACTGGGCAAACAATGCCAGGCCAACGAACTGGAGGGTGAAAGGCGAAAAACGAATTCGCTGCGTTCGGTTGCGCTACAAGCGCATTCCAAGGGACGGACAACAGGCGAGAGCGTGTGACGCACTTTGTTCTCAAAGCCATAACAACGCTCGCAATGCCCCTATATCAATCCAGCTCTCGCTTCTGCATCCACCGAGTTCACATCTTGATACCTTCACAGTCCAGTCACCGCACATCAGTCTCGCAGACAAACGAGAATCAGCATGTCGGACATTGTCAAAGGCGTCAGCAACTTGTTCGCCTCCATCTTTGAGATCATCAGAGGCATCTTCGTCACGGTGTTCAACATCTTCGAGGGCGCATTGAACGCGGCCATTGGCCTCCTCAAAAACACATTCAACGTGGCCGAAGGTGTGCTCGGCTTCATCATCGGTAGGTCATCGACCAGAGCTCGCAGGCCAAGAGAAACCCTCCTGACTTGGATAGGGAACATCTTCATCATTGGGACGATGTGCGCCATCTACTTCGGATATGTCTTGTACCAACAACGACAGGGCAAACGACCGGCTCCAATCTCGAAAGTGGCAACGGGGAAGACTCAATGAGCGCAATGGAACGGCAGGGGATGTTCGGAAGCCATTTGAGATAGGTAATCAGGAAAGTGAATATGGCAATGAAATGTGTTGGGGTGCAATCAGCTGCGAGTACCCATCCCGAAAGGTGGGAGTGACGGCATGGTGAGGGAGGGCGGGCCGAGGTCGATATGAAACGAATCGCCTCTTTAGGTCGACTTGCCAGTTAGGGTTCTCGTCCGACTCTGGCATTCTTCAGTAGCAACAATTGATATCTCGAAAGGAAATTGGGATCGGGCAGTTGAAACGAATTCGCTTCGGGTGTGCCAAGGCAAAGACAATTGCCGAGGTTAAATGGGCGTCATGTGACTGGTGCGAGGTCGCATCTTCAACTGCGCTCGTTGTCTCGACGAACATGCGCCCTTTGTGGGTTCTTCAATCCCCTTCTTGTCCCTTCATCATCCCTCGTCTGCGTTTTATTCCTTCCGACTTCCTCCATTGATCTCCAATTCTCCCTCTGCCACACACGTTGCGGCGAGTGACCTACAAAAAGCGGGCACCCGTAGGCCTTTCTTCCATTTCGCTACATTCCTTTTCTTCTTTTGTTGATTCCAACTCTACCCCTCTTTCTCTATCACCACCACTGTCGATCCTCAAGGTGTGCCCAGTACTCCCAGCATCATGTCTCAAGTGAAGGACATTGCGCCGTCTCCTACCGAGGCCGACCTCAACCAACAAACATCCCAAACCTCCGGTCCAGTCAGTCCTACCTCCGCAACTTCCTCTGCCCAACAAAGCGATAATATTGCCCATGCTTTAGCGGGTGCGGGCGGTGGCCTTCTCGCAATGACCCTCACCTACCCTCTGATTACGCTCTCAACCCGGGCACAGGTGGAGTCTAAGCGGGCCGACACCTCTACCCTTGCGGCTGTGAGGCACATCATTAAACGGGAGGGTCTGGGCGGACTCTACGCAGGCCTCGAGAGCGCTTTGTTCGGTATTTCAGTCACCAACTTTGTCTATTACTATTGGTATGAGTGGACTCGCGCCTTCTTCGAGAAAGCTGCGGTCACTGCGGGCCGAGCCAGCAAGAAGCTCACCACCGTCGAGAGCATGATAGCCGGTGCGATTGCGGGATCGGCCACCGTCCTCCTCACCAACCCGATTTGGGTCATCAACACAAGGATGACAGCTCGCAAGAGCGAGACAGGAGAGGGCGAGTTACCAGGTGGTGAAAAGAGAAAGGTCAAGAAGCCTAGCTCCATCGGGACGTTGTTGAGCCTCCTCAGGGAGGAAGGCCCGGGCTCCCTTTTCGCCGGGGTCCTTCCGGCTTTGGTTTTGGTGATCAACCCAATTCTACAATATACGATATATGAGCAACTAAGGAACATTTTGGAGAAGAAGAGGAAGTTTGGCCCTCGCGATGCCTTTTACCTAGGGGCTCTTGGCAAGCTGCTGGCGACCACGATCACGTATCCTTACATCACTGTCAAAGCCAGGGCCCACGTGGCCAGCAAAGACGATCCTCACGAGGGCATGTGGAAGAGCTTGAACAGGATTGTCAAGGAGGAAGGCTGGGCCGGCTTGTACAAAGGTGAGCATGATCTATTTCCATTGTCCTCAACGCCAACTGACCAACATTGCCCAGGACTCGTCCCCAAAGTCAGTCAAAGTGTTTTAACTGCGGCTTTCCTATTTGCCTTCAAGGATGTGTTATATGATATGACCGTGGCAGCGCGAAGAAAGGCAAAGGCCATCAAAGCTTAAACTGGGGACTCAACCACTACTTGGATTTGGCCCGAAGTCATGTGAAGCAAGGGCGTCTGGAATGTCGCATTGTCCCTAAGCCAGCATGACGAGGCTGTCATCTACGATGCAATAACCCATTTGGAGATGGATGATATGCAACGTGAGCAACGCTCGTGCAGGTGCTCGTTGGGGTGGGTAACGGAAGGCTGCTCACAGGCAAGTGGGAGAGGTGCCAAAGGGGATTGTTTTCAGCCTCTTCAAAAGTTCTGCGAGACTAGAAATGTGTTCAGAGATAGACTGTAGAGCTTCTACTTGTATACCCATTTCAATACCCAATTCACCCCCTCACCGTATAGCTTTACTTTGATTATATTAGCGCGAATATGTAGGCCGTCGAATCTAGTCTGTATTGTAGCCGTTTTCCCCTTGTCACTAGCCACCTCTTCGGCTTAGCCTCGGAGTGAACTTCTGAGGCTGAGTGAACAACTACCTTCCTCAAGTCAGCCCTGATTCACATTCTTTCAGTTGCAGTTGTGACTGAAGGTCACCAGCTCCCCCGACATCCAAGTTGGGCGGAAGGGAAATGAAGCCAAGTACCGGATTCTGGGATTACACCGACATTCAGGCATTAGCGATTCCCCATCAACTATGCGCTCCGTGTAAAAAGATCTGCTCTACATCGAACTTGTTACGAACTCTGCCGCAAGATTACGCGAGGTGGGAACAGGAACAAAAGGATGGTGGGCCTCTCACTATAGGGTGTGAATATCAAGAGTCATATCGAATCCATGACTTTCCAGAACTTGACCGGTGTGTCTCGGAAGGCCAATGCCACCTATGTGCTCTAATTTGGTCCGAGTTGCATGCCGAAGCCGGGTTTGAGCCGCTGGAGGAATTACGGCGTCTTCAGCATGAGGGAGTATCATTGACCGGCGTCCTGAGAGGCGGCGGCAAGTCGTTCATCAACCACCGCCTCCTGACATTTCGTGTGGGAGACAGAAAGTCGAATACAGCAATGCAGCTCCTTATGTCTTCCGGTAAGAGAGCTTGATCTCTTCCAGTCAAGACCCATCTACTGATGCTCGGTGGAAAGAGCCACACACAGCACCGATCCAACAGGAGTTTGATGCGCAACTAGCCTTGTCTGCCGAATCCGACGCCACCATCTCTCTCGCCGCAAAATGGCTTCGTGATTGCATTGCTCAGGATACGGCCTGCGCCGGTAAGAGACAAAGCGCCGTATGGGATAAAACGCTGCCTGCAAGACTCATCTGCATCTACAGCGAGGATCCGAGTTTGCAATCGGCTCGTATCGTGGATACGAACAAATTGCCCTTGAATACTTCCTACCTTACGCTCAGCCACTCCTGGGGGGATGGCAAGTTCCTGAAACTTCTGTCGACCAATATGGAACAGCTCTATTCATCAATCCCAGTCGACGAGTTAAGCAAGACTCACAGGGATGCTCTGTCGATAACTCGCAGACTGGAGTACCAGTATCTGTGGATTGACTCGCTGTGTATCATCCAAGACTCTAGTGATGACTGGAGATCACAATCCGCCCAAATGGCCTCCATCTACGGTAACTCGACCTGCAACATCGCAGCAGAGAATACGTCGGGACAAGGTGGATGTTTCGTCCGCCGGAATCCCTTGATGCAGCGACCCTGTCAATTGACTCACAGCAGCGACGTGGATCCAGCAGAAGGAGTCTACGCCCATCGCTATCACACTGCAAATTGGTCTGCATTCCCAGAGTATTACTATTCCCTCCTATCCCTCTTGACTCGCGCATGGGTCCAACAGGAACGCGTCTTATCTCCTCGGGTTCTGTACTTTGGTGGTCCTGAGATACATTGGGAGTGCTGTTCGTTCCAGGCCTCTGAGGCGTGGCCGCACGGGTCTCCTAATGAGGAGTACGGCTTCGATGAGGTCTATCCACTCAAAGCGGCATTCGAGTCCCTAATTACGCCATTTACGGATTGGGACCGAGATGATCTCAACAGGTTTGTCTACGAGCTGTGGCATAACGGGGTGTTTCGAGAGTATACCGCGGCCGACCTGACGTTTGAGAAGGATAGACTGGTGGCCCTCTCCGGCATTGCTGGGGTCATCCAGCAGCGCACGGGCTTGACTTACATCGCGGGGCTGTGGAAGGAATTCCTCCCGATGGATCTCATGTGGCGGAACATGGACGCCCCAGCGCCAGGACAGAGACATCTTGAACCCATGCCTTGGAAAGCACCCACGTGGTCGTGGGCGTCGGTCAAGGGGCGGAAAAGGTATGATCTCTTTGCCCTGCAAAAGCCAGAGGACAACAATGTGCTGTATTGCTCTCGTGTCCTTGAATGTGTTGTAGAGCCCTTGGACATCGAACAGCCTATACTAGGTGAGGTGTCGGGGGGGATCATAACCCTGACAGGCTTCCTTGTGCCGCTGGCCGGACGCAACAACCCACAGACACTAGGACCCGATGGACTGGGAAGCCTGGAGAAATCAAAGGATTTCCATCTGGACATCGATATCCCCTCCTCATCAACGAAGCTGTTCTACTTCTGTCTCATGAAGACCCGGGACAACGAGACGACACATACGAATAAAGGACTCGTCTTGGCCCAAGCGGTGGCAGAGCCGGAGGAAGAGCCAGAGGAGGATAAAGATGACACCAAATATGCTGGAAGGTACGTCCGAGTTGGTATCTTTGTTAAGTCGTACAAGATTGAAACGGGCTGCATCTTTGACGGGGTTGAGGAGTCCTCGGTAAGTGTACGCTGAAATACTGATTTCCTCGGTGTGCATGAAGAAAATCTGTACATGGAAGGTCGACGACCAGTGTGCAACGCGGCGACGTTGAATAATGCATGCTATCTGCCAGCTCTGGCTGAGCTGAGACCTGCGGAGTGTTTAGCGTGAAGGCAAAGAATAGAGGCACGAGTTTTTCCAACTTCCGGCCAGCCTGAGAGTGATCCCTGCGTTGTTCCAGAACTCATGCAGCCTGAAGTCATCTTCAGCTTCGCTTAACCTGATTTGTGTGCAGCTTCGCGGGGGTTTCACATTCAGCTGCCTATGGCTCTCTCGTTCGAACTTGAAAGTATCTATCCATGGGCCTCCTCTCTGGCGGTCAGATGGGCATGATAAATGCGGTGCCAAATTGAAAGATGTCACAACACGGTCACGCTCAGCGGCGAGCTCAGTTATGCAAAACTCTGTTTGGCGTCATTCAAGGAATTTCAACTGGCGCCACTTTCACATGGTTAGCGGAACTGTGCAGTGCATCATCTGTGGGAAACCATTTTCGGGTTCATAAGACGACAGAGGTCATTTGCATGTTCAACAAGTTCCACTACCATGAAGATCAATCTTCCAGCTGCCCGTACCCCATGCAGGTTGTGTTCTCGTGATATTCTAAACTGGTGCCGCAACCTAGTCAGCTAGCCAGGGTTATCAACATGAGTCTCCATTTCGCGCAAGGTTCATTAGAAGGAGCTCACAGGTTCTTTGTGATATTATAGCCATACTCGGTTTTAGTCAGCTACCGTTCGCAACTCGCCAGGTCCTGGGAGGAGTCTGGTGACCAAGCCTGCTCGACACGAGAACGGAAAAAGTTGGTCAAGTATCGAGCCCGTTATGGTTGCGTCAGAAGAGAGCTATATAAATCGCTCCGTGTGCCACCTTCTGATGAAGCTCAGAAGTCTTCAGCTTGCTTGGAAAGGAAGATTGGTCGCTGAACCCCATCAACACCATGGAGACCCAAACCAGCGATAAATGAAACAAATTCCTAGCTACCCGCGTCAAAGTCACTGATAGCAGTACGGCAGCTGCAAAATTCTGGTTGGTTGTCCCATGCTAACGCCAATTGGGCAGTATTCCAAATCGTCAATGGATTGGTGGAAAGGGATTTTCGGAAGAGATTAGGGAGCTATACTTCAAAGGCTTCGAGGCATTCGAAGCCGTGGACAAAAGACGACCCGCTGTCTTACTATCAAATTACTGATAGAGGGAGCCTACAGCCCACTTTACCGTGATTGCTGATGTTGAAGGTATTCACACGCTTTCGTATACCACTTGGCTCTAAGAGGAGTGGAACAAAAACACCATCCCAAAGCCAATACCAAGACTCGTTTGGAGGCTTCTGCACCCACCCTTTGATCGTACCGCTAGAAGCCGTGGACAAAAGCAAACCCTTGTACGCAAACAAGTTTCCAGAAGTTCCCTAGGACGAGATTACAATAGGTACTCTAGATCTGTTACGTACAGTCCTAGGTTAAATTCTGAAAGATGATCAGCAAAGATGGGTCACCTTACTAGAATGCAGTGCGATACCCTGGCCCCAACAGCCCCGATGATAGTATCATGCACGACACGAATGCCTTTTTCAATGACCCTTCCGGACCACTGCCGCGTCTTGAACCCGAGCAGAACTTGACAACACGTACAGCATACGTTCTGTTTGCTTATCATGCCTTCCCTGCTCTCAGAAGCAATCGCATGCCTCAGCATACAAAGGGCAACATCGTTGACGGTGCTGCAAGCTGGGGAAGATATGAAGATGCCCACAACACAAACCGCAACTTGACCAGCGGCCTCGGTGGTTCTGGTGGCTATATCGCTAACGTACCCGTGTCTGCTTTCGACCCCATTTTCTGGCTGCGTAAGTAGCACCCAAAACTAATCACTTGATACTTACTAATAAATCGACTCAGACCACACGTAAGTTTAGCGCCAAGTGCCGAACGCAAGTTTTTTAACACATTTATGGGAATATCGACCCCTGAGTTGCTATTAGGTAAGCGCTCCACAAGGGAGAATGCGGCAAAGACACCTGGGTTGTTGTTGACAGAGTCGCGAGAGCATCATTGGGCCAAACCACCTGAGACGCTAGACGCTTCACCAACTGCGCAAACTGCCTCAACCTCGTTGTTCCTGCAGTTCTGTGACAGGATGGCGACGGAGTAGGAAGTTTCAGGAATGCTCTTGTGGTTACAGGCCAATGTATATATAAACACGCAGAGTCTCTCTGAATAGCCAGGGGGACAGAACACAATCAACCAGACAGGTCCACAACTCAACCTCTCGTACAACAGTTGTGGAAAGACGATCTGTCGATGGAGATTGTCAAGCCCTATTTTGACCAAAAATCTCTATTGGCGAGTCGCAAAGGTAATGGTCCCCCCTCTTCTTTTGCTTAAATCCCACGAACCAGGAAAGAACTAACCAGACACACAACGCAGCTCGGTGGGTCAATTGGGGAAGATCGAAGTCAGGTCACCAATCTCAAGGTGTTTGTGGTCACTAATGAGGTCACCTTGACAGAAGAACCTTCGCAGCTTCCTGTGTACGAAGAAGACGTGACAACGTATCCTAAGATCACCACGATTCGGGATGGCCGGCAGAGGAAATGACACTGGATTGACGGCTGGTGAGATGCTTGCGTGAGGCGTGCTATGGCGTGGCTGGGCGTGCTAGGGGAAAGGGGAAGGCCATAGCCCGGAATCAGGTGGTCGAGAGCCTCTGCTTAGGAGGGCAGTTGGCTCTGAACCATCTGCACACATATCGTTGTTGGATGGTTTAGATGAGTTTCCCTCGTTTTCAGGGTTCTGTATCTGCTCGCAGTACACTCAGTTTGCAACACTGAAATTATGTCGTAACGCTCAACCCGAGCCTGTCCGAAGATTTTAGAATGCTATGGCTGCGGCCTGAGCTTGAAACCAAACATTCTGCAGCAACAGTCGTCTTGAGACGGCGAGGTTAAAGATACACAAGTGATCAAAGGGTAGAATGACAGGTATACTCGGAGACTGAGGTTGTCAAGAAGCGAAATTTGGAGATGCAAGGCTCCCAGCTACAGACGGACGAATTTTCCTTCGAATCGAAGAGATATTTTCAGATAGCTATGCATTACACGATGGAGTGACAGATATGTGAGATATCCAAATATGCTATACCATGTATAAAGGGCTTGCTGGGAGGCCCCTGAGTGCCACGCCATCACGCATCCATGCACCTGGCTCGCCCTGGCTTCCGGCAAACGCCGGCCAATTGCACCATTATGTTTCTTCGCTTCCACGACACTTATCCAGTTCCAGTTCGGTAAAGAAGAAATTCGTCCGTCAAGCTGGGGTAAATGGCCTGCCTGATTTTCGGGGATTCGGCCGAATTCGCATTCTCAAAACGCTGTTTCGGCACACTATTGCTCACCTAATAAAGCCATGGTTTTATATATCCGCGCCTTTCACAACGAAAATGTAAATAGGACATTTGCCTCCATACCACACAGTCATCGTCATGTCGAAGCCAATTCGAGTCGGCTTCATCGGCCTCAGCTCACATGAAAACATCCATTTGGCCGGAGCGTGGGGCAAGCAGGGCCACCTGCCATACTTGGTGCACTCGCCAGACTATACCATCACTGCACTGTGCAACTCATCTCTAGAATCGGCGAAGAAGGCTGCTGAGCTGCATGGCCTGGACATCAGCAAGGTTCGCACATACGGCGACCCCGAATCACTGGCCAACGACGACAATGTCGATATGGTCGTCTGTTCCGTCAACGTCATGCAACATTACAGGCTCATCAAGCCTGCCTTGATCGCCGGTAAGATGGTCTTCTGTGAATGGCCATTGGCCTCGAACCTGAGCCAAATGCAGGAACTGGCCGACTTGGCGGAGCAGAAGAAGATCAGAACCATTGTTGGCTTGCAAGGTCGCACCGGTGCTTATGTCCATGCCGTAAGGAAGTTTATCGGCAATGCGACAGGTCAATTGGGAGATCTTCTCAGTACTTCCATGATGATTTACTCCTTCTTTGGCGGTCTGGTGATTCCCAAGGAGATTGCTTACCTGGCGGATATCAAATCTGGAGGGAACATATTTACCATTACAGCCATCCACAGTGAGTGTCTTGCCGTCCCGCCACAGAACACCTGCAATGTCATGGGCGCAAGCTGACGGCTTTTCCTCCTCCAGTGATTGATACTTTGACCGCCGCACTTGGTGAAATTGAAACCCACAACATCCTCCTCAGGAACAAACGCCCCGCCCTCGCCCTGACGGACAACGCTTTCAATGTCATCGAGTCATCGGTCCCCAACAGCGCGCCGGACCACGTTCTCGTCCACGGCACTCTCATCGGCGACGTCCCATTCAACTTCCAGGTTCGCGGCGGTCCGCAGTTCAAGGACACTCCGGCTTTCGATTGGCGCATCTATTGCACCAGGGGCGAAATCCGGGTCAGCGGAAACGAAATGCTCTGGATGAGCGGCGCCATCAAGGTGCAAGTGCATGATTTCGTGACCAATAAAGTCGAGGACGTGGATTTGGGTCAAGTGTTGGAGGAAAATGTAAAGGATGATGTTGCCTACAAACTGGAATTGAAAGCTCCGGCGGATAACGTGGCCAGGCTCTATGAGGCCTTCGCGAAGGGTAAGACCGAGAAGTACTTGGACTTCGCGCAGAGTTTGAAGTGGGCGAGGTTTATTCAGGAGGCTTATACAGCCAATGGCATGTGAAAACAGAGAACTCGAAGACGTTGCCGTTCAAAGCAGAATTCTCGTTCAGGAAATCGGAGATTATTTCCACATCAAAAAGTCCATCGGGCCCTGTCGTCCTGGTCTGAATTAGGCTCAAGAATGTCCAACAACACCGGAACATCACAGAAGGAGAATGCAAGCAGCACGCCCAGACAGTGCCGCAAACCACGCGACAGCCACACAATGACATACGCAACGTTGCCCTTCCTGGATCGGTGAATTGGCGTGGCCCCTAGCATGGACGTATTTGTGGTAAGAGAAGTAGAGACATCTGCTGGATAACCTTGAGACCTCGACAGTTTATGCATGCTGATCAGTGCGTTTGGGTTGTCTGAATCAAACATCCTCTTCCTCATCATCATGATTCGAATTGCCTCGTTGAGATTTGACTTGGTACACAGCTTGAATCTTCGGTCGACGTAGAGTGGTGTCTATGATGTGCGTCTCCCTATCGCAGATTTAGAAGAAAATCCAGTATGTCTTGACCGAGTCTTCCACACATTTTAGCATACATTTCCTTCAAAACAGCCGCTCTGGCTTCTTGATGTCGCTATCCGGCCCGCGGCAACCCAAAATAATCTTCCGGTGGGTTGCTGATGGGAAGGTACTCGTGCTTGTGACCTTGGATCCAATTGTCGCAGAAGTAACAGGCGGGTTTGCCACGCCCAATGTACTTGTCATTGTCCACAAACGAATGTCCATGTCGACGACTGAATTCGTCGGCAATCTTCAGTTCGGCATGAACCCTGGTCGCAATGGTTTTTTCGAGAAGCGAGATGAGCACGTGTCTCGCGATTCAGAGGGGGGTTGAGGTCAACAATAGTGTGAGCCGCCAATTGAATCTCAGGTGGATTTTGAGAATGTAGACTCTTTGTAAACTGCCCACACAATCTCATTGGGGCTTGTATAGTCTTGATCGATCGTCACCTGTCGGGCCCTGCGGGGTATCGTGCGAATCTTCTGGAACTACAGTCATCTCTCTGACAACAGGATTTATAGATGAAAGCATTGCACCTAGACGGCTAATGTAGCGTGCTAGTCGGCCGAAACCGTCCTCTGCATCCTTCGACTTTCTCCTGGCTTCATAGACTTCAGGCCCTCGTAACTTATACAAGGTCCGCGAGAGTCAGATACGGTCATGGTTCCGAAAGCTCAAGAAGCTTTCACCGAAGCAATCTCGATTTAAAAGTTAACATTTGTCCTTATCATACACTGGTCTTGTCGTACCGGTATCATCGCGGACTTCATGCGTCAACTGGATTCTGCAATATCTTGCGTACTTCTACATTTCGTCTTTGTAAAACTTAAGTTGAAGATCGCACTCATCTACCACTCACTGGATAACGTCGGCTCGGACGGCCTCTTGAGTTTCTAAATCCACCTCCTTCAGTCTCCGCAAAATCCTTTTTGCATATATCCAAATATCTGTACTTGTTCCTTCATTCGCCGCTAAATAAAGAAAATTGCGATAGGGCTGCTTCTACAATCCGGCCCCAATTACACTTGCTTCAACATGGCACGAGTTGCCTGCGGGGCTATCACTGCTGACATGGTCCACGATGGAAAGAATGACGGGTCAGCTTGATTCCCATCGTCTCAAGAGAGTGTTAATAATCGGTCCACTTTGGCAGCAGTGACCGCCAGAAGCTCTAAGGAATAGAACTGGCACTTGCGAGCTTATCCCCCCATTGAAGAACTACCTTGAATGACTCAATATACATCTTCCCGGGCTTCATGAACGCGAGCAAGTACTCAGTATTGGGTACCTCGTACGCGACTGCAGTGTTCAACACTGATATTCGTCTGCGCAGCGAGAACACATGCCGATCAAGCCAAGATTTTCACGTAAGTAAGAGAGACGTGAAACATCTTCCTGTGGCATGGGATTTTCAATTTGGACGTGTGAATCGGAATAGGAAACCGTTCTCAATACGAGGGTACCCACCTGCAATAATGCGTGGAGAGCTCCCCACTTGCTGGTCCTTTTCGACTGGCTGTTGCCCGCTCCAATCAGTGTGGCCCTAGTGGTACTGGGTAGAAGCCCAGCCCATTTTCAGCTCCAGCGACCCAGCCGCTTTCCTTCAGCCCTAGTTCCAGACCCTGGTCCCCGGTGTCCACCATACATCAGGTTTCGGGCATCAGCTTCACGAGGCTGCCTGAGCGAGAGTCAAGGCTGAGGAGAACGCTATGACACATTGTTTGTTGTTCCCCCATCAGAAACCGATGCGTGTGGGTCGCTGGTCTCGATTGTCGACGCCCAATACATTCACATTCAGGGCTGCAATGTCCGGCCCGGCTTCCAACTTCATCAACGCTTGCCGGATCTGTTGACATGTTGATTATGCAGGGGTTCATACCTGTTGTGAGATACTTTGCTGCGCCTAAATGGCAAGATGTTCGGGACACCCGAGACCTTTCGACAAGGGGTAAGCTAAGCTGCAGTTTTGTATGATATATTGACCTTCTAGCCCTGTTTGGTCTCCCCTCTGTTGGACTTTTCGGGAGAGGCAGATGTCTGAATTTATGGACTCTCAAAGAAAAGGTTGTTGGTCCGATGGAAGCCGGGACATCTCTGCTTCCACTGCCTAAAAAACACAGGATAATTTCGGAAAATCCAGCGACAGCAATGCCCACGAGACGCCCACGCTCAGACAAGACACAACTTTCCATACCAAAGACAGATTCAAGTTGGACCGCATACCGAACGTTACTGGCTGCACTCTTTTCTGAAGGCGTTCTCTTTGGTCCGTTCGAAAAAATTTGCTGGTCACTACTAAGGAGTCTATGGACACTGACAAATGCCTTCCAGCCATATGCCTTTCATTTGGCGTGTTCCAGGACTACTACAGCAATCGAGCCTCCCTCCCTCACAGCGACCTCTCGTCTTGGATCGGCGTCCTCGCCACAGGCATCGCCTACCTAGGTGCCCCGGCCGTCACTTACTGTTGCCAAAACTTCACGATTCCTTGTCACTACTACATCTACCCGGGTTGGATCCTGTGCCTCGGGCTCCTGAGCAGTGCCTTCTGCCACGATTTCAGATCGATGATCGCCACGCAAGGGCTGCTGTTTGGCGTGGGCCTGCTCGTCGTCGAAATGCCCACGCTCATCATCATGAACACATGGTTCGTCAAGAGGCGCGGTCTCGCGTTCGGCCTGCTCTGCGGCTTCACAGACCTGTTCGGCGTGGCTTGGGGGTTTCTGGCCAGCTCGCTCTTGAACCGCCACGGCATCAAGACTGCATTCCTCGTTGTCACTGCCATCTGTTTCGTCGTTCCTGGAGTTGGAATCGTTTTCCTCCGGGAAAGATCCTCTGTTACTGAAGGCTTGCGATCTGAGACCGCGTCGGTTAAGGAGTTGACGGCGTCCACAGACGTTCTACATGAGAACACACCAGCCAACAGCACCTTGCCGCCACGCCGTTATTATCACCGCGCGAGCTTCTACATCTTTCTTGTGCCAAACCTTCTTCAATCGTTTGCTTTCTACTTGCCGTTCGTCTATCTTCCCTCTTACACAACCGCTCTCGGGTACTCGGCATCGACAGGCGCAGTTGTCCTCGCGATTGCCAACGTCGCGCAGGTCTTGGGCGAGATCGGATTTGGTAGACTTTCCGACAAGGTCAACGTCCACACGCTGGTGTTCTGTTCGACCGCCATAGCTTCTCTCGCGGCGTTTCTAGTCTGGGGCTTCGCCAATTCTCTTGCATCTTTGATCGTCTTTGCGCTGCTCTTTGGAGGCTCCGCGAGCGGCTTTCTCACGCTGTGGCCCCGCATGGGCACCGTGTTTGCCGAGCGCGATGCCAGCATGATCTACAGTTTCATGTCGCTGGGACGCGGATTGAGCGTCATTGCATCGGGGCCAATCAGCGCGGCATTGCTGCCGGTATATGGCGATGTCGGAGACCACGACGACGATGATTGGGTAAGACACCATTATCGGGGAGTCGTGCTCTTTGTGGGTTCTTGCATGGCTGCTAGCGCGATCTTGGGCCTTCTCGGGTGGACATCGTCGTATTTGAAAAGGAAACATTTAATCTCGCGTGGACGGGACGCAAGCGTATAGCTATCCCAGAGGAATACAGATATGATGTTCCTTCTATCGGTGATTGTCGTATCAGCATAATATATAGTTTTTGGCTGGTCACACCTATTCACCAATCTGTATCTCTTCCTGCTTCAGGACAGTCTATACCCTAACACCTTCGCCCTCTCGGCCTCGCTCAACTGTTCTACTCCGGCTGGCGGCAAGATCGGCTCCAACCCCTTGACGAAATCAAAATGCCCCATCCTCTTCGTCAAGGAAATATCTTCGGGCCCGCGCGGGCCCTTGGGATTGTTCCCCGCGATGAAGTTCATGGGGAAGCCGACGTCGAACGGGTACGCGGACTCGATCTCGTCAATCTCCGCGGCTGTCAGACGGATGGTCAGCGCCTCAATGTTCTGGCGGAGGTGCGACAGTTTGCGACCACCCACGATGGGCGTCACGTAGGGCGTCTTATGCATGACGTACGCGAGGGCGATCGAGGTCAACGGAACCGGGGGATTGCGTGCATTCGCGATTTTCTCGAGCACCACCGACACTTGGGCTTCCTTGCCCGTCCGCACCGACGCCATGTTGCGGCCGCCGCCCTGCTGCTGTTCCTCAGTCGGCCGCGAGGGCTTGAAGTAGCCGCCGCCCAGCGCTCCCCAGGGCGCAAGCCCCATCCCCTCGTCCCGACACATGGGGATGATGTCCCTCTCAAAGTCCCGTTCCGCGGCCGACCACCTCCCCTGGTAGACGCTGAACGGCCTCAAACCGTGGTGTCGTGCGTACGCGTTTGCTTTCGCCACCACCCACGCCGGTGTATCGCTTATGCCCAAATACAGTACTTTGCCCTGCTGTACTAGATGATTGAGCGACTGCATCATCTCTTCCACTCCGGTCGTGAAGTCCCAGTAGTGCACATATAACAAGTCAATGTAAGTGGTTCGCAATTT